TCAGAGACTCATTCAAGCTACATTTGGAAGAGGTGACATTCCGAGTATCTAAATCAACTACAGAATTGTGCCAAATGGAGCAGTTCACAGCCAAACACGCAGATTGGTCAACTAGTACTGCTGAAGGACTCCAACCTCAAGCCTTTGCATTGGCCATTGGGTCGCATCCAACAAGTGTATCCTGGTGCTGATGGTCTGGTCAGAGTAGTTGAAGTTAAAACCTCTACAGGTGTTCTTCGGCGAGCCATCAACAAAATTATTCCTCTACCATTTAAAGACTGAATGAACTTGAAAAACTTTATTTTATATTTAATAGTTTACCAATTTAATATTTAGTTTAGTGTAATTTTAGTCACTTTAAATTTATTTGAATATCTGGAAATTGAAATGTAAACTCCATGGGAGTTTAAGCGGGGAGAATGGTAAGACCGCCTACCAAGGCGCTAGAGCTGGCAGCTGCCATTGAGGTGCTAGAACGCTAGAAGGCGCCATAACGCTGAGAGCGCCATTGAGAGTGTGCTGAGATTCGATGGAAGTTACTCGATGGATGATGTGTGATTTCTGAGATTGAGATATTATTATATTTAATTAAATCAATTTATATTTTATTGATTGGTGATTATTGATTTTGATTTATTGATATGAGATGTGATATGTTTTTCTGAACCACCACACTTTCGACAAACTTGGATTACCACTGAATCTTAAACCACCCATGTGCACACAGTATTAAATACCACTATACACCAGAGCTTCTGAAAAAATTTCTTTCAAGTGACCATTCTATTTCACTTTGTGATTATATATATATATATATAAAAATCACCATCAAAGACTGCATTTATTTGTTAGGTGAATCATGGAATTCTGTTTCCCAAACAACATTAGTAAATGCCTGGCTTAATGTATGGCCATCTTCTCTATTTATTGAAACTGAGAGTGATGACAGCAAATTTTTAGGGTCAGTGCAGCAAAGGTTAAAGCAAGAGAATTGCTTTTTATATTCAAAAGAAAAAATAAATGAGGAGGCTTTGCAAGAATAAGATATCACTGAATGGATGATGTGCTCAGATGAGGCAACACTGGCAATATCAGAAGGCTGATGATGGCTCTGTTTTGAACACATCACAGCAAGAAAATGATTCCAGCACTGGCACAGATAGTGAAATATCTGGAAGCTCAAATAATATTTTGTTGAGATTTCCACTCAGTGGAGTCAAATATTCCAGCAAATGGACCTATACTAAAACACAGAAGAAATAACATCGTAGAAGATAAACTAATTTTTCACTAAAGAAATGTATAAATTTAATTTACGCAATTGATTGGGACGGTGGCTAGCAATGACTTCCCAGGTTCGAATCCCGGAGGAGGCATGGATGTTTGTAAATGTAGTGTCTGTGTGGCATGGGAGCACTCTAAATATGAAGCGAGCCGACAGTTCTCTCGAGAGGTTGTGGTAGAGAAAAAGCGGTGGGAGACCCTTGGAGCTGCTCTGTCAAAATTGGGAATAGAACTCAGCAAAGTTGTATTGTCCCCTATATGGTTCTCTCGCCAACCATAGGTGCAAACTTGCACTCCTTGCTACGATGAATTTTGCAGGCTTGTTCTGAAGTTACTGTTAGACAAGTGAGATTAAGTCACAAAAACAACATATGTGATAGATGGAGAACTCAAAGACATCTCAGCTGAATTTATTGAAGATTCTTCAATATGTCCAAAAAGTGTATGGATATCAGTTAAAAGTGTTTTCAGTGTTAATGAAGCTAGCCTTTTCTTTCATCTCATGCCTTCAAAATGCCTAGCCTCTAAACACATTCAGTATCATGGACAAAATCACTTCCCTATTTTACTCTGGCCGACTACTGATGAAGTGAAAGGCGACACATTTACCCATAAGAATGCTACAGAAAACAAGCTGTTTTTGATGCCTCAAGAAAATCACTGAAGCATTAGGGTTTCCTGGAGGCAATAAAATATTAAGAAATTAAAATATTTATTTATTTTTATTTACTTATTTGTGTAAAATTTAGTTTTTTATATTATGCTATTTGATTTTTGCAATTTAAAAAATTAAAAGTTTAAACTTACTCAGAAATATGGATATTATTTTAGCAAACTAAATGTAGCATAATAAAATTGTGTACAGTAATGGCACAGCGATAAAATCATGGAAAATTGTTTGTGTGCCTATGTATGTTACTATGAAACACTGAAATCTGGACAGTGTTGACTTTCACCGGTGAATGTCAACATTCACATAGTTGCTTGGTGTATATCCGAAATACTTTCCAAATACTCTTATTTTTGACTTACACCGGTAAATGCCAATATTCACCATGTACTAATGGCGAATATTCAACATATAAGAATATTATATTTTCTTCTCCGTAATTCAATCACGAAAAAACGCACTTGAGACTTAAAATAAGAACTTAAAACACAGTACATTGAAAATGAGAAAGGAAAATAATAGAAGCTAAAAACTTGCTTAATTATACAGTACGTTCTAAATGAGAAAATAAAATAACAGTAATTAAAAAACTTACTAAATTATGTGATTCAAATCTTATTTATTTCAACAACTTAAACTATTATGACACTTTCAATTGCACAAAAGGCCCTTCCTTTTACAACTGCATTTATTTGTGGAACACTTCCTTTTGCAATGAGAACGTGTAGAGCCTTGCCTTTGATCATTTGCACGTTCGATCAAGATGTTTTTGCGTATCAAATTTCATCACGATCGCAAAAGTTCTTTTTGGTGCTTCTATTTTTTTGCAAAAGATATTAAAATTTCTAAGATGAAGCCACAGAAACCAAAATAGAATAAATGCATTCTTTAAAATTCACTTTGCTTACCATAGCGACACTCTGGCGCTAGGTTTACTTAACAGTATTATATTTCATTCATATTATAACTCAGAATGAAAAAAATGTATATCATTTAAAGAATTATCTAATCGTTCCCACATGTTCTATTCAAATACTATAATAAAGCTAGAACTATGTATAAAAGAAATTAAGCAAACAAAACAAAACAGAAACAGTTTTTCACAGACGATTGAGTATTTCTCATTTAATTAATTCAGTTCTCACTTCGCGAGAAGGCAAAAATGCATAAAAACTCAAAATATCTATATTAAAAATTACGAAGTAAATCTCAAACACTTATTTCCTCGAAAAACTTCCAGAAAGAATTAAGCATAATTTAATTGGCAATAATAAGTGAATGCGTTATCTTTGTTGCTGAGAAGCTAAGTTTCTAGATTGGCAACAAATCCACTGGTCTTCTGTTTCAAATGTAAACATCAATGGCCGCCATTCAAGACAGGCTTAGCGGCAATTAAACAACTTTAAAATTGCTGATAATTCTAAAAATATTGCACACAGATTTACTAAAGGCATAAAATCCTTAACCGGAAGATAAAAACAACATAATTCAATCATTTTTAAAGCAAAAAATGTACAATTTACAAACATATAAGAGTAAAGAAACTAAGATCACTGAGCCGGGTAACAGAGTGGATATATATATAAATATATTTATATACGTTTGGTGCTGCCGATTGCAACCAAAATACGAGGTGCACATCTACACATTATAGCAGTCCTATATACAAAATTTCAACATTCTGAAGCTACTCGTTTTTGAGTTATGCGAGATACGTACATATGCACGAACGTACGCACGTTCGTACAGACGCCACGAAAAATTCTCTTCAGAATTAATTTTAAAGCAGTTTTATAATTTTTTTGAAGGAAAAGAGTATTTTATTCTGTCCTTACCTACAGATATGACGCAAAAACATCGTTAAATTGCATTCGATAGCGGTCAAAATGGATATTTTCGTTGAAATATGCTGCCTGAAACTTTTTGCGATTACAATACTTCCTTTTTACTTCGTACAAGGAAGTAAAAATTGCCAACACATCTAAATATGCCATATTTTTTATACTTAATTCAGTGATAGAAAGGGTCCAAAAATATTCTTTATTGATTTACATTAAATGCTGATTTCTAGTTACTGATTTTGTTACTGATTTAATGATTTTGGTGTCACATTTTTTTTTTTTTTTTTTTTTTTTTTTGATTTCATGATAGATTCTGAAATAAATTAATAATTCTGTCAGATGTTCTACACCTTCCAAATAATTTTCCTCTTTTCAAACAATCATTCTTCTGGAGCTTAATGTGCCATTCGCAGATATTGTTCTTATGCAAAGGATCACTGTGACAATTAAAATTGCCTTTGCACCAGAATGATGTTAATACTGTTCCATTAGCAATAACACACATAACTTTTGTTTGCATATACCTCACACCTAAAACTCGCCAATGTGCATTGCCCAACTTAACTTCTGAGCACACATTGCGACTGATGGCATACTGCAGTTCTCTGGTTTCTCATTCTTTGACTGATGGCACTGCCTGTATATCAGTACCCAATAGTTTAACTGCATATTTCCTCATTCATAACATGTACCTCTGTTGGGTATATCTGGAGGGGGGACGCTAATATGTCTCAATTGGTCAACATAAATCCTACTTTCAACATGTTTTGCAATATCCTCACAAACTCCACCATTCTTTTTCAAATCCAGTGTACTCAGATACAATATTTTTAAACAATATGGTACACTTGGTGTTTCTAAAGTCTACAGAAACCTTCTTTTTACTATAGCCAAGGCTTTAACGATTATTTATTCACATACTGAATTTTATTGGAAAAAACTTCACAAGAATATTTCCCCACAAAATATTCATAAGTAAACATCATAATGGTTTTAAAAAGTATATAGATTTTACATTTGAAATTAATTTTATAATCATATAAGTTTCTTAAATTTAACTAATAATAAAGTAGAACTCTTCATCAAGTCTAAATATAAATGCCACTCAGCTGGTTAAAACACTTGAAATATACGCCTGAAAATTTTGCCTAATAAAAATGTATTAAAATATCAAGAATTTACAGAGAGCCAAACAAGAAATTTACCTTTCTTTCCAAATGACTAGGAAATTCAGCCATTTTAAAGCTACCTCTATTGTAAGAAACCCACAGCTGAAGAACTCCGTCTGGATTCCTTGAACCTAATAAATGCTTTAGGGATAAAAGACAAAAATAGGAATGAATTTAAAGGTTTAATTAAGTCATTTTATCTTTTTAATTAAAAGAAAAAATATTATACCTGTTTACGAGTAACAAACAAATATTTATCTCTAACTTCAAAATCTTTTATGTTTGTAATTAATACTTTAGTATGATTTCTGCTCTTAAAGAAGTCGGTGGATGATAATAATGTTGTGTAATTCCGTGGCTCAATTCTTTCCACAAAAATGGTATTTTCTGGATCAACACTGTTTACTCCCCTATAAAGGAAAATACATAACTAACATAAAACAAGGATATAAACTTCTAAAATTTTTGATAACAGAAAATGTAGATAGCAAATAACATATAATCTTCTCCAACTTCAAGCAGATTTTGATATCTGATAGTTTTGAGACGGGAAAGATAAATGTTTTCTCTTTCAAGTCAAATGTTTTCTATTATCAGATGCAATATTCTAAATGAATACTTTCTGAATGATCTGAATAACATAATATTCAAGACTTATTAAAAATCTCATTTTTCAATGAAAGCTCCAGGCAGAGTTTAAACGTTGCACAAATCCATACTGATTTTAAGTGCATAACTATGTTTAACATGATTTCAGACATAGATTCTACTCTTAAAGGGAAGGTAGTAAGGACTGACACAGAAATAAGGTTAATGTAATTGCATAAGTTCATAAACTTCTTAAAACACCAGTGGCCATGAGGGTCACTGGCGACCAACATCTGGTCATGTCAGTAGTGCTGTTGGAGTCATTGGTTGAGTGGCAAAACAGACTGATCTTTGATCTATCGCTCAGTGCTGCCAGTCACACTCTGTGCATTTGATTACATAAAGAGACCAATGTGGCCTTTCAGCACATTACTGCGATTTGGCATTTATTTGAAAGAAATATAATATATGCTCATTTATGGAAGAAAGTGTGTAGAAAGAACAGCGAATAATTGAAAATATTACATAAATAATTTTAATAAAAACAAATTATTAACATTAATTAAAATTAAAAACAAATAATACTATAGCAAAACTAAAAGAAATTGTCAAGAACTTTTTTGGTGATGATATGCGGAAGAATGTGTGTAAAAGGAATCACAGAAAAAGCCTGAAAACCAACAGCCATTTTTTCACCAAATTTATATAAAATTCTATGGTGATCAATGTGTTAATAGACAAGCTCATAACCACTTTTGAGTACCTCAGTAAAAAATTCCTATTATGTTGCTTTGGCTAGCAATTAAACCCAGCAATAATGGTGTAATCAATAAAATAAATAATCGGATAGATGCCAGCTGATTGAACACAAGTATATACAGTACAAAGTCCGAAATCCGGACTGGTCTTCGGCGATCCAGATGAGATTTTTCTGGATAATAGATCATCAATTTAAATCTGGTAAGATGGCATGCAGAAATTATACAATTAAAAATATGAAATCGTAATTTATGAAATAAAGAACAAATGTGATCTAAAGGGTATCCAATTTACAAACAAAAAAAAAAAGCTTAATATTTATTTGTTTACTTTATTAAACATTTTTTTCAATGTAAGTTGATTAAGATGCTTCCACAAAAAATTCAAAAAGTTCCTTTTTCTTCTTTTTTCTTGAGTCATATACAGTGGACTTACCTCGCATAATTTTGAGATAGATATGCCTTTATCCATTTTTTTGCAGCAATTCCACTTTTTATTTGGTTTCGCTTTGTAGACCCTTTGGCAACTCCATAATTAGAAACTCTTTTCGACATAATCGAAAGTTCAAGCTTAGTTTTTATAAAATTGCCATAATAATAACAGTCTGCAAAAAATAATATGCTGGATCAAATTAGAAGATCGGGGAGCAGCGCAGTCTGCTACATTAATTGAGATGCCTTAGAGTCAGTAAAGATAATTTTAGCCTAGCTTAATAGCATCTGTTATATATTACTGGCTGTGTATCACAAGATTGGCGACGAAAGCCAAGTTGTTTTGCTAAATTATGTCTTGCTCCTATTGCGTACTGAATTAAGCCTGAATTGTATTAGTTATTTACTTTACCTATGTTTATTTCTTGCACATGCTTCAAACTAATCCGAGTCCTGAATAAATAAACTCTCACATATACTCAAGGCTTTATCTAGGGCCAGCTCGATACCACCTGGTGCAGTCTCTATAACAGGTCCTAAATTCTGCTACAAAGCGCTTTCCTAAGTTCTAAATTTTCAATATGCCTAAACTTTGGATCCCAGTGCTTTACCTAAATAATAAAAACTTCTCATCCCTTAATTTTGCCGCTCGGTGCTTATCCTAAATTCAAAAATTTCGTCTTCCCATAATTCTGCTGCCCGGTGCCGAAATACAGAGGCTGTTCGCATATATTTTAGATGATTTTGGTAGGTGGTAATAAAAAATGGTTTGCTGCAAAAGAAGTAATTTCAATTGTACTATGTTTTTAAAAGTCAAAATTATCGTCTGTGGCTTGAAAGTTTTGTTTTTATTCAAAATGGCGAATTTAACAAAGCAGTGGTTCGAAAGCTACATTTACACTCTTCCCGAAGAGAAATATGCATACTCCGTTATCCAAAATTGATGTGATAGTCATGGTTTTGTGATATCTAAAGTGTTGATAGGTAATATCATCAACAAAAAAGGAAAAAATCTGACGTGTACACCACATGACTTCCTTGTATGGAATATTAATTATACACATTTTTTTTTTTTTTTTCATTTCATTTAAACTTATTGGATTGAATTAAATCTACTTCACCGACAGCACATAAACCACAATAAAATAAATGCATTCTTTAAAATTCACTCTAGTATTTGTTTACCATAGCGACACTCTGGCGCTAGATTCACTTAGCAGTATTAATAATTATATAACAGTTAACTTATATATGTCGTTCATATTATAACTCATAATGCACAAAATTTATATCATTTCAAGAATAGAATTATCTAATCGTTGCCACATGTTCTATTCAAATACTATAATAAAGATAGAATGATGTATAAAAGAAATTAAGAAAACAAAACAAAAAAGAAACAGTTTTTCACAGATGATTGAGTATTTCTCATTTAATTAATTCAGTTCTCACTTCGCGAGAAGGCAAAAATACATAAAAACTCAAAATATCAATATTAAAAATTACGAAGTAAATCTTAAACACTTATTTCCTCGAAAAAATTCCAGAAAGAATTAAGCATGATTTAATTGGCAATAATAAATGAATGCGTTATCTTTGTTGTTGTGAAACTAAGTTTCTTTAGATTGGCAACAAATCCAATAGTCTCCTGTTTCAAATGTAAACATCAATGGCCGCCGCTCAGCGGCACTTAGGACAACTTTAAAATTGTTGATAATTCTAAAAATATTGCGTACAGATTTACTAAAGGCATAAAAAACCTTAACCGGAAGATAAAAACAACATAACACAATCATTTTTAAAGCAAAAAATGTACAATTTACAAACATATAAGAGTAAAGAAACTGAGATCACTGAGCCGGGTAACAGAGTGGGTATATATATAAAAATATTTATATACGTTTGGTGCGACCGATTGCAATCAAAATACGAGGTGCACATCTACATGTTATAGCAGTCCTATATACAAAATTTCAACGTTCTGAGGCTACTCGTTTTTGAGTTATGTGAGATACGTATGTGCGCACGTACATACATATGTTCGTACAGACGCCACGAAAAATTCTCTTCAGAATTAATTTTAAAGCAGTTTTATATTTTTTTTTAAGGAAAAGAGTATTTTATTCTGTCCTTACGTACAGATATGATGCAAAAACATCGTTAAATTGTATTCGATAGCGGTCAAAATGGATATTTTCGTTGAAATATGCTGCCTGAAACTTTTTGCGATTACAATACTTCCTTTTTATGTCAAATTGGAGCCTCAAGTGGGACAAAAATTCCAAACAAGTATCCAAGGAAAAAACGAACATCTTCGACTATTGCAAAGGTACGTTGTTTAATGTTAAAAGAAAATCCCCCTAGTCACAGGACAGTTGCAAAATCATTAAAATGCTCGGTGTCGACTTTACACAAAATGACAAACGTTGATTTAAATCTTAAGAAAGCAAAAAAACGCAATGTACATCGCCTTCTTCCAAAGCATAACACTCGACGCAGGACACGCTGCAGAATTCTATATGAGAAACACTTGTCCAAAGAAAAATGGAAAACAATTGTCACAATAGATGAAGCATGGGTGTATTTAAATGATTGTAACAAAAAAAGAGCCATTTATTATCATAAAAGGGGAGAAAAAAATTAAGTACATTTTTCAAAGAATCGAAAAAAAGTTTTTCTAAAGGAATCATGATTATTGCTGGTTTTTCTTATAATGGCAAGTTAAAAATACAGAGAGTGCAAAAAAATGTCAAGATTAACTCCAAATACTATCAGGAACATATTTTATCACCAATTTTTCTGAATGAAATACCATCGCTTTACCCACAGTGCCATTAATCTGTGAGACTCCATCAGGACAAAGCTAGCAGTCACACATCAAAATCCACTGTAAATTTCCTAAAAGAAATAGAACAAAAAACTGGTATCAAGGTCATACCCTTCACAGATATACCTACTAAATCTCCCGATGTTTCACCCATGGATTTTTATGCTTTTGGACTTTTAAAAACTGCATTATCCAAACGTTGTCCCAAACCCTAACAGGACTCTGGAAAGCTGTTCGGGAGGAATGGGATAGAATACCTCTTCTGCCACTTCAAAAGGCATTATTATCCTGGAAATTGCGGTGTCAAAAGATAGTTCAGAATAAGGGATGTCAAATAGAACATTTAAAACGCAAGAATTTTATGTAATTTAGTTTTGTGAATACAGTATATATCGTCTAAAAAATGTGTTAACAGCCTCTGTATTCTGCCGCCACTTCTGGGTTTATGGTGAATAACAGTTATTCTTAATTAAAATAGCACTAAATGTAATCTTTGGGCCTATGAGTTTCATTAACAAAATCTATTTTTAGCATATGAAAAGAAATTTTTGTTGAATTTTTCCTCGTCAACATTTCTTAGAACATTTAAAAATCTATAATCATCGCCGAGTGTAATGTTAGAGAAAAGGTTGCCATACTCTTGTTATTCAATTTCTAATATAAAAAAAGTTTAGACATCACAAGCATGAGTTATTACTGAAGCTGTTATGTATTGATAAACATGTGGTGATGAAAGCAAAATATAATAAATAATGACTCGCCAGGTCAGCGTCAGGGATATAAAATAGGTGAATGTTTCGGTTTGAGATGTATGCCTGGTAGATACTCAGCTACGGAGCCAAATTATTAATCTCACCAATTTATGCTTACATGATTGTTTTTCCATAATGAAATACTTTATTTAGTGCCTAAATGAAATTAAGATTCAGAATTTTTAAGTGAAAATCTCCCCATGTTTTATTATGGAAGGAAAAATCCAATGTGCATGTGTAAAGCATTAATAAAAAAATGTTTGTGGCTTTGAGGTCCAGATCTTAGATCATTCCGGATAATGGACATCCGGATTTCAGACTTACAATCACGAACATCACTATTACAATTAGGAACATCATGAAGTAAGTCAAATTTAAAGATATTTTATGGTGCACTCAAAAGTTAACTGCATGGACTGGCTGACTGCTATTCAATGGAAGTTTAATTTTCATGGGGAAATCTTAAATCTGATGCTAAATATTATGTAATTTGGTTATTAATAAATTAGTTAAAAAAGTTGTCTGCCTAAGACTTGAATGACCTGAGATACGAATCCTGGCAACGTTACAGCTGTTTTTTTTCACACTTTCTGCTCTGAAAACGTTCAGGTTCTACATCTTTTCTCTTATGATTAAAATGAAAAGCAAAGCTTGTGATTCAAAGCAGTTATATTATCAAAACCAGCATAAAAACAACTAACATAAGAGCTCTTGAAACAGGAAATGCACAAGAATCAGGAAACAAAGAAATCTGAGGTTAAAGCTATGTTTAAAGATACAATACACCCATTAACTTATGATAATCAAGATAAATTTATTTACTCAGAATAGCTTTAAGTACATTTTCATATTAATAACCCATAATTGATATAAAAAGTATTTTGGGAGAGAATGTTATTACTATACATATTTTAGAAAGAGTAGCATGTTTTTTCTAAAATTTAACTACATAAGTCATTCTTCATTGTATCACATACGAGTATTTATTATCAGAATTATTATATACCCCAAAACAACAGTAACCATAAAGTTTATTTTAATAAAACTAAGTAACCATCTTTTATATTTAGAATAGAATCAAATTAGGTCAGTGGCTGAAATTTTTGCTTTTATTAAACCACAACAGCACTTACTGTCTGAGAATAAAAATCAGAAATAACATGTTCTGATTAATAATAATTACTGGAAGATGCCATTCCTGATGCGTTCTCAGGGTTTGAAAGTTACTACTTTCAGCCATGTTAAAATACACTCCTTTGACTTCATAATTTAAAACCTGTAACTACATAAAACTTCAGAATTACATCATGCATAAAATGAAGGATACATAGTACAGTAATTAAGATAAACTAACCAGTAAAATGTCTTAACTTGCAGTTGAATTTCTTTCCAAGAAACACCAAAATCCTCGGACAGCCATAACTACAGAAGTATGGGAGGAAAGAAAAAAAATTAAAAATATAGAATATTTTGCTTATTTTTAATATATAGTAAATCTTTTAGTTAATACATTTTGAGTTTTTTAAATTCTGCTGAATTAAAATTATTTAGGTTCATAAGATTGATAAGCCAATATTTTTCTTTACTTTCCACATATTGTCCCTTATTGGGGTAATATGTAGAAAGTAAAGTAATCATATTGTAGTAGAAAGTAAAGAAAAATAGTCCCATTTCTACAATGGGACAATACGTAGAAAGTAAAGTAATCATATTGTATATTACTTTACTTTCTACATATTGTCCCATTTCTACAGATTGTTCCTACATACTTTCTACATATTTCTATGTTATTATATTGTTATAAAAGTGTGACTTTTTGATTGTAAATATGCAATATTTATTGCAGTTATGGGTACTTCCTTATTATTACTGCACTTTATTTAAACCATGTTAAGATTACTAACAAGTTTTAAGTTAAAAAAATTTAGCAACTTATATCTTGCTTGATTTCTAGCACAGACTTTAGGACTCCTATACTTCTGAAACTACTTTTAGCCACTTATCTGATTCGCCTGCACGCTGTACATGTATCACTTCCAGGACTCACTTGATTTGCTCGCACATCATGCAGGATAGAAGAGCTTATGTTCTCTGTTAATGTATAGGCTATATTTGGTTTCTTATTAGTTCACAATTTTGTCAAGAAATGGCAAAAGCAGTCCATTGAAGCATGATCACTATTGTAATCCCCCCCGGATTCCAAGAGATAATATTTTTGTACAAAATATGTACAGATAGTTCTTCTCAAACATAAGGTATAGAGACAGTTCTGGGGAAGAAATGTTATGCTATATTAATGTTAATAAACAATAATAAAATTATACATACATAAATATGATATAATATATATATTATATATAAAAAGAAACAAAAAATGGCTAAAAATTAAAAACAAATTTTTTTAAACCTGTCCTGCACTACAGCTGCAGGAGTAAAAGTTAATATTAAATTAGAATCAAAGCAAGTGTTTCAAAAACGTGGACATAAATTCTGGTACATTGGAAATTCGATTTTTCGGTTTTATATTAATTTTAAATGAAAAATTAAATCTTTTTTCGGTTTTTATCTCAAATGAACCAGGAGAACGAAACATATATCGACTTTATGAAGCTTTATTCATTTCCCCCTATGATTCTGAATTGGGAGTTTCAGTAAAAAGAGATTATTTACTATATGTTTTAATTTTCCTAGGCATTTTTATTTTAGAGTTTGTTCTGCTTGAATTCTTATTTTATATTTGATTTGTTTAGATATATGTTACACAGTTGCAATTATTAATATTGTTGAGGAATAGCCTTGCTTTGATTCCAATTTAATATTAACTTTAGATGCTCTATGTTTATATTATATATATTTACATAGGCATATGGTTATATGAAAAACATGTTAATATTAAGTAATAAAAGTTTCATAAATTTTCTCATAAATTGGTCTAAATGCTTAAATTTAATAGTTGAGGGCATTTAAACTGAAATTAAGCTCTGCAGAAGGCAAACTTTAAATGAAACTTTAATACAAAAAAAAAATAACATTTTTTGGACCAAACTGATTGCAAAAAGAATATTATACAGCAAAAAATATTTTCTTATGCCATGATCTTCTGCCATACAATCCCTAATCCTACAACTTTAACCCTTAGAAAACCGAAGCCTTTGCTAACTTGTATGCTTAAAATAATGAGATGCCTGAAATTCTTTTTGAGAGACACAGCAGTTTCCACCTCTCCATCCATTAACACACAAATAGATATAAAGATTTCAATTGACATCCCTTTCTATCCTTTTTACTTCCAAACAAAGAAGCTTCCATTAGCAAGCTGTTTGCACTAAAATGATACAATGCATCTGCTTTCGCATATCTTAGAGGGAGGGAAGAAAACAACATGACAATCTCGGTCTTTTCGGGCAGTTGTGGCCATTTGAATGAAGGGCCATCTCAGCCGGTTGTGGTCATTTGAATAACAAGCCATCTCAGCCATTTCAGCCTTCAAAGAATTAAACTTATTACCTTTCTTGTACCAAAGTGGCAATCCTACTCAGGCCTTTTCTCTAAATGGGCAGACTACAAACTGATTGTGAATAAGGAAGCTAGCTCTTCAGTGATAGTTATGACATATGTTAGTACCATTAAAAGAACAAAGATCATTATGATAAGATCTTATCACTTTAAGACCTTATTATATTTTCAAGGGATAAGGAGTTGAATATAAAATACAATAGTGGTTGAGCATGAGGATTAACAACAACAGTGTAAAGACCTGAGTGTTAAACAAAATTTGAAGAAATTAGAATGAAAATATATGCCAACTACATAAAACTTACAAAGCCAAGATACAAATTTCACATAATTAAAAACAAAAATACATGCAAAAGAGCTTTATGGAATAACTGAACTACCTCAGCAAAGTTCATCTATTTCTCTTTACACAGAAAAAACGTTTTGAGCATATATTTTAAAATATTAATTTTATCACCTAATGTAATCATTTTCAATTGGGGAAAATTTCAAATGTTTCTGCCTACAGAAATTTTGCTACATTAAACCTATAAATAAACATGCACAGTACAGAAATAATCTTTAAATAAAAAATATTTCAACAAATTATGTAACATGAAGAGGATAACTGTTAAATTTCCTTGCCAAATGTGGTTTTTATTTATCCCTGATATTATGTCGCAATGTGAATTAATCAGCTTTTTTTTTTCTTTTTTTTTAACTGCTGAATTAAAAAATTTACCACATTCTATTTTCTTCATAATGTTAACTAGCATTAGCATTTGGAAATTCAGCATGGGCTTTAAAGTGAATCTGATGTTTTTTACCAATGGGTCTTTGCCCTTGTAAAGGAAGAGTGCATTTCTTGTGAGTTAAATCATCTGTTTTATCTGCCACTAGATGAAACAAATGCAAACATTTTTGAAATTCTGCAGCTATTTAATAAGTTATGAAAAGTGTCATTGTATGGTATAAGGATCAAGAAATAATTACTTCAAAGTGTGAATACTCAGTTTACAAAAACAACAGGAAATTTGTGCAGCATACATCAATAACACTGACAAGTTTCAAATCATGTGACTCTTATTTTGTCGAATTCACATGGTGCCATAAAAAGTATAACACCACCATCAAAAGTCTTCTCTCCCTCTCTATCTCTTTCTATATATATATAAGTATATTAAAATTATTTACAAACCATGGACTGCAAATCAAGAAACAAACTAAATTTTTAAGTTTTAATTTATACTTATTTCATGCTTAATTACTATTTCTTGCATCTTGAATTTTATTGATCTGTTGTTCCTTCATGATATTGCTAAGAAAGAACTATTTTGAAAATCATTCTTGCCCTTGATGCCTCAGGCTAGGAAAAAAATTCTGAATGTCATTAAGGGTACCTTGTCACAGAAAAAAACCTGATACTTGTAACTCCTAAAAGTAAATGTAGACAGAGAAAGCATCTTGAATTTTAAGATCAACTAATATTTAGGTAATGTATATATGAAGAATTAATAGAAATTTTCCCCGGTTAAAAGATGTTGAGATTTTTGAACAAGTGACAATTACCGTATTTGACGGCCTATAAGATGCACTTTTTTTTTCTAAATTTGGTCTCAAAAAAGATACCTGCATCTTATACGTGAAGGACACAGGTTAACTTTCAATACTGAATGTTATTTTTAGCCTGGATAAAGGTCTAGACACACATAACTTTTTCTACATCTACATGTGTGTGGCCTTCTAAATAAGGGTGTGTTTTATATGCCATCAAATACGATACTTTGTAACAGATCTGACATACTGAACAAATGAAGAATTTGGCAGTTTCCTCTTAGCAACACCAGTTCAGAAAGTTCACCAGTTTAGTGTCAAACTGCATAACATTACAAAATGTGGTTATCAATAAAGGAATTCGGGAAAAGTCACCAAACAGAATTTTAGCACTTTTCTGAGGTGGTTTGGTAACAGAAAAATATCAATAATTTTACATTATAATCTATGTAAGCAGTGTTGGCTGAATTTCAGAAACGCTATGCTTTAAATGTAAGAAAGTTGTAGCAATTTATTTTAAATACAGCAATATCACATAGTAGTAAATTTTTTTAATTATACTAACGAGGAACTCAAATTAAAAGTTCTCTCAAACAAATTAAAGCTGCTTATAAAAATTACAATATTTCACATGTTTAAGTAAAAAAGTATTTATGGCATTCTTTAGCATAAAAGATAATTCTAGGTTTTACAAAATCAAAATGTTTTTTACTTTTCTCTACATTAATAAATGTAGAGCCAGTCATCAAATGTGAACCAAAGTGCCATAGTATAAGGTAGCCTGTTTATATTGTATCATGATTAGCTGTGCAATATTTAATGAGTGTAACACCAAGGCAGTGCATGATGACTTTGTGCAATTTTCTGATTTTTTTTTTTTTTTTTTAAGTGAAAACATATTGAATAGGAAACAGATCATACATAGAAGAACAATAATTGCTACACATTTACAGAATGATCAGATTTATTTTCACTTCTTTCTTTCTTTTTTAAATCTAATTTTATCAAAACAATCAGTAGTTTTAGGTATATCAAACATATAAACTGGTCCTCAATTTATTTTATTTCTAATTGATAATCAATCTGCAGAAGTAGAAAACACAAGACTATTTCAAAATCACTTAAAAAAAAATGAGGCCTTTCAATATTTTGGATGAAGATCATGAAAATTTTCAGAAGGTTGATAATAAAAGTAAAGCTTCCTATAATTCCTATACTAAAAGAGATCCATATGTTCCATGCAACAGCAGTGCAGATAAAAAGTAAATAGATAAGCATTCAATTTCAGATGACGCTGAATGAATTTAGGTCTGTGTCAGTAATTTAAGATACTTACATATTATTCCATTGACAATAAGCAGAAATTTTGGCAACAGTTGCCAATCGTTACCATAGAACTCAAAGAAGATGGTCATCCATAACTGGCATTAAATCCCACTACTTGGCTGGTCAAATGGAATAATACTTAAGTACCATATTATTTAAAGATAACAAAAAAATTTTACTTGCAAAAATTTATTTTTAAATGTCATTTTGTAGCTCATATGCCACAATTATTACCTTTCTCTTCTAAACATTTGTACAGAACAATTTTTTCCTTTTTGCTAAATATTGTATTAGGAATAATAAACATACCTATATAATTAATAATTTTTTATTAAATATAATCATCAATTTTATTAGCAAACATGAATAGAAGTCATAATACATGATTCAGACTACTTAAGAGGGAGTTTTCAGTCTTAAAATATGCAATATTTTCATAAAATTTTATTCAGATTCTACAAATTTTTTATAAAATATAAAATATTTAAGCAGAAAAGGAGGGAACAAAAACTATAAATTACCTTTCTTAATGGATCATTTTTTTCCATTCCCAAAAAGATTTGAGAATTCGTTGGATGCATAGATATTAGATCTGGAGTAAAAGGTGTTGAATGCTTTGAAAATGATTTTCCAAAGCTTTGAGTTGTAAAGATATAGTTGTGAATAACATCAGTAAAAACGTACTGCAAATAAAGCAAAACTTTGTAAAAAAAATATTCAAATATAAATTCAATAAAGAAATAAAGAAATGAAATTTATTAAAGAATATAATTCAATAAATATAATTCAATAAAGAAATGAAAATATTAGTCATGAAAATATATATCTTAAAGCTGAACATGTGTTAAAATACTGATTAACTGAAGTCACAATAAAAAATACATTAAAATAACCCCTAATTCAGAATTTTAAAAGTAAATAAAAAATGAATCAAACTTTGAAAATTTTAATTAAAGAATACCAAAAAATTCTACAACATGCTTAAACTTTTAAAAGTTATATAATTTTCACAGATTACAATAGATTTTCTCCATTTTTTCAAAATTATATTTCAACTAAAAAAATTTTTACATCAGAACTTTGCATATGTCTCATATGTTGCATAAATATTACAATATTTAAACTTTAGAAAAGAAAGACATATATGGCAATTAAAATGAAATAAAACTGTAGGGGAAAAATTATACTGAATTTACATCTGTCCGATTTCTTTCTTATCTTACTACCTCTCGCATGAGTTCCATTTCAAAAGTTTTGACTACACATTTGCCATAACCCTAGCCACACACCATATTTACAGAAGGAATATAAATTGGAGACTAGCACAACAGATACATCATGTATGTAATACTCATCCACTATAAAAATACATATATGAAAACTCAATATATTGGTTTGACACCTAGAAAATTTTCAGTAAGAAATACTAAACATGAGAAAGATATTTACAAACTTTTTGCCAACCAGTACAACAACGGAAATATGACATTTTTGGCAGGATAGGTGCAAGACATTTTACTGCCCAGTGTCTGCCCAAATTCTAAAAATTATGTTCATCAGTATGGCCACTGTAATTCTGCCAGCTTTAGCACCAGCCTTGATTTTTGGTGATAATCTTTAGAGCATCCAAATTCAGCTGTTTCATTTATTGCCAAGTTGTTTCAGTTATGGTAACCTGAGTATTTTATGATGTATGTTTTGAAAATGCTATTATGACGTGATCGGTAGCAATGTGCAAATGTGCTGAATTTTATTGCTGGGAAAATATTACTCAGGGCTTATTTCTGTATTGGATTTCTGTTTCTTATTTTGTGCTTTACATTATAAAATGGCTGCACGTGATAAGAACAACCTGAAGTTTCTGTACAATTTGTAATGAATGGAAAAGAAAACATTGATTGACTGTTGTGTAAATGAAGGTTTAATCGTAATCGAGTGGAATATATTACCTAGAATAATGATCATATCCAATTACTGGAAGTCGTACCATTGTTCTTCTGATAATGGCTTTATTCACCTCTTAGTAAATTACACAGTGACATTTAAGGATTCAGAAACCAGACCTCATATCAGCACTATCAAAGGAATGTGGGGTGTAATAAAAAGGGATTTTCGAAAGAAATGCTAGTCCGGCATTATAGAGGATATTTTTAATTCTTACTTTTGCGAATTTATGTGGTGCCAGCAATATACATATTCTAGTTTAGATAACTTTAAACAGTTTTCGAATATTTTTAAGGAATTTTGTGTGCTACACACTGAAGATACAAATTTCTAAATAAGTCAATATTTCCTTTCTGTACTGTGCAGATTATATAAAGCATGTTTCCATTTTTTTAATGTTATTTATTTGTTTTATTTTAATTTTAAAATGGTACCAAATGTTGGCCAAAGGGGTCCCTGAAATATATTTTTCCATAGCTGGATAATAGTAAAATAATTTTATTTTTTGGAAGAATAATTTCTTATGGCATATTTTCTTTTCCTAGCATCACTATGAGTGCAACAAGCCCCCCAATTCCATGGCATTTTTGAACAATGGACAACAGTTACAACAGTTGAACAATGGAAGAATGGACTGCAGTGACATATGAGTAGCCAAGTAAGAAGAGCAGGAAAGAGATTGCGTATTGAGAAGCTCAGGTATTTTAAAAAAACCGAAATTTTTTGTTTCAGTTTTAAACGTTGACTAGATGAGAAGTAACAGCATTATGGATTACTGCAGGTGAAATAACGATGCAAGTGGCACAGTACACATTCTTTGAAGGGGGCAAAGACAAATAATATCAGGAATTATAAGTGCTATTGCCAAATTAAGATAGTAATTTTTGTTAGTAATTGTCTTTTGCATTTTATATCTTACATCTCCCCACTTAAAGGAGAAAAAGGGTTGACAATAGAAAAGCCTTTTCAGAAAAAGCTTTAGCAGAGGAACAGAAATTTTGTACAATATATACAATATATTTGAGAGTTGCTTCAAAGACATAGCCCTGGGTTTCACTACACTCATAATATTTATTCATAAACTTTTTCATATCTGAATTTATAAAACAACACATAAAAATGTAATTTGCAAATATTAGAACAAAACATTATATAATCACTAAATTAAATATACAGTCCAATTTGAAAGTCACTAAAATATAAATTTTTAAAGTTCTTGAAACTTTTTCTCCAAATAGTATAAATATGTTCGACATTTGGGGTCTGAATTTTTTCATAAAACAGTTGAAAACCTGCACAGTTCTTGAAATTTCACAATATAAATTTGACAGTTCTAGTAATTTGAAAGTATTTCATAAAACTAAGTTTTGTAATCAAAATATTTCAATTATATATTCAAGAAACTCGTTAATACTCATTATAAAACGAAACCAGATTTTCTTATTGTAGAACAATATAACAATTAATACACAGAAATGAACAAACTACAACACAGTGTAATTATAACGTAAACATTAATGAAAAATGTGCATGTCCTCTACCAATGAACAAGCGTTAACTACCTGCTGATGGCTGTGGGATGCTTAAATAAAATACACCTATACATTTCTGTTCTTGATACACGGTAAGTGGCATTTAGCATTGTATTTACTATTTATGGCTATTAAATTCTTCAAATTACATAACTGAAATTGAAAAAAGAAATAGACAAAAAGAAAAATTCAAGTTAGGATAAATAATTATACACTCAAGTTAGTCTTACAAATTTAGTAAATAGAATTTTACATTATCCGACAGTAAAAAATAAATAAAAAAAATTAAATGTGCATTGCATGTGTGTGTGGTAGCACTTTGTGCTAAAACTATGGGTACAGGTCTGTGACTGGTGAAATTATTAATACACAGTCAGTTTATGACTCTCCTAAAAAATTAATTTGGATATTAGGTATCTGAATAACAAATGAACATCAAATATTTATTTAATATCATTTTGTACAAATTTTTCATTTGCAAAAACCATTATTAGAATGCCAAAGGCAGATAAAAGATAAATACTTTGCATAGAGAGCATCCCTGCCCTCCATCTTCTTATCTTTACAAAATACTCATCTACTCTTTTTTTTTTTTTTTTTTTTTTTCCCCCAGTGCCAGTTTACAAACATAACAATTATTTTTTTTCATATAGTCAAACCTGCATCAACAGCTCTTAAATAGTTCAGATAACTCACTATTAACAGAAAATTTCTGAATCCCTTCTTTCTTAAAGTAAGAGATTAATGCAATTCTATTAAATGTACATTTCTTTTTAATACATAAAATTCTTGATAGCATGAGATATTTGCTAACAGATGGTTTGACAATATTTTGGTGAGGCATATATATTTTAGAATTGTTTAGAGACCGTAGAGCTATCGATTAACTGATAAGATTCCTCTTTGTATTACTACTGCTATCATTATTGCAGATAATCTCAAAATCAAGACAAATACACCTATTCACTCTCTCAAATCTTAACTGACCAATTCCTAAAAGGGATGAAACAAGGCTCTTTTTAGTAACTGTAATAAACCCTATTAGTATAGCTGGGAGAATAAGGCAAAGGGAGGCATTTGCCTCCAAGTCCAGCATCCAGGGGGCATTTTATTGCCCTTTCCCGCTGCATTTCGGCAAACAGGAGAAGATACAAAATCTTCAGTTGTCCCCAGGTGTTGAAAGCCCCTAGCCAAATGGAAAACACACAAAAGCAGACCCTAGTTCACTACAGGCTGCTGAGCAGGCAGATACTGATCCCACGTCCTTTCATTTATTCAGCTTAAGTAAAATATATTGCAAATGGTTTTCAAGAACTTGGCTGTTTTTTGCTTTTGGGTTCCTTTCCTCTAAAATTATGTACGAAAATATAAGGAGGGAGGTAGAAAACCATAACAAGAAACTTTTCAAACAAAACACAAGAAACTTTACCACAATGACATTACTTCTCAGTTTTATTGACAAAAACTGGGATAGTCTATATTTTAGGTACCCCCAAGTTGCTATTTCATTTATCGCCAAGTTGTTATTTTATTTATGGTAATTTGAGTATTTACAGTGAATGTTTTGGAAACCCTATCATGATGTGATTGGTTAGAACCTATAATGACGTGATTGGTTGTAATGCATCACGGCGGTGATTTTGATTGTTGGAAGAACATTTCTAAGGGCTTATTTCTGCGCTGGATGTTGGTTAGGAATTACTTTTCTCATTTTGTCCTTTACACCATAAAATGGCTGCTGGTAGTAAACTGGGTATTAGGTGGTATAGAATGAGGGAGCGGAAGGTGTTTTTTTATGTGGTTGAGGATAGAAGAAAAGAAACTTTGCTGGATGTAATTGAACAGAATATCTTACCAGAAACAAAGATCTTATCCAATTGCTAGAAGTCATATGACTGTCTTTCTGATAACGGCTTTGTTCACCTTATAGTAAATTACACAATGATATTTAAGGATTCAGAAACCAGAGCTCATATTAACACTATCGAAGATACGTGGGATGTAATAAAAAGGGATTTTTGAAAGAAATGCCACTAACAGTCCGGCACTACGAAGGATATTTTTTATTCTTACTTTTGTGAATTTATGTGGCAACAACAGCATGCAGATTCTAGTTCTGATAATTTAAAAAAGTTTTTGGATGCTCTTAAAGAATTCTGTGTGCCACACATGGAAGACACATAAACTCCTAAATAAGGTCTTTTCTTTTTGTACTATGCAAATTAGAGCCATTTTATTTGGGAAGGCACTGCATGTAAATAGGAAAAGTGCCCCCCCCCAAAAAAAAATCACCAATTTTCACAAGAGGGGCTCTGAAATATATTTTTCTGCAAAACTGTATTGCTTTATTTAATTTGGCTTACTTGGTGCTCATGATTTCTCAGATGCTGAAAGTTTTTTCTGCATTATTATTTTGAAAGAAATGCCACTAACAGTTAGGCATACGAAGGATATTTTTTATTCTACTTGTGAATTGATGTGGCAACAACAGCATGCAGATTCTGTTCTGATAATTAAAAAAGTTTTCGGTGCTCTAAAGAATTCTGTGTGCCAACATGGAGCCATAAACTCTAATAAGGCTTTCTTTTGTACTATGAAATAGAGCCATTTATTGGGAAGGCACGCATGTAAATAGGAAAAGTGCCCCCCCCCAAAAAAAAATCACCATTTTCACAAGAGGGTCGAAATATATTTCTGCAAACTGTATTGCTTTATTTAATTTGGCTTACTTGGTGCTCATGATTTCTCAGATGCTGAAAGTTTTTTCTGCATTATTATTTTCTGATTCCATATGCTATCTTCATGCTAACGTTTTAGAACTTTAAATTCATTGTATGCATTAAATATCTATCATAAATATTTTACTACATGAAATATGTGTGAAAAAAATAGTCATGCAATTATACAATGTGACTAAAACAGCAAATTGACTAGTTATAGCAAAAATAACAAGTTTGATAAACATGAATTAAATTCCCCCCCCTCTAAAAACATTCTGGCAAATACTGTTTAGCAATTGAATCAAGCAACTGTAATTCTTCCCAGCTTCTGGTCTCCACATGAACTTCACTAAGTAAGAAGGCAAATTATTTGCTTTGAACCATTTTCTAGTTATTATTTTCAACAATTTTTATCACAGCCTTTAATATTGCATTTCCATCATACATACTCTGCCATGCATGCCATGCATAAGAACTCGAACGTTCATGATTTTTTGGCAAAACACTACAGGCCTGGAAATAATAAACAACTGCTTCATTTCAGCAAATTTAGTAAATGCACAATGTAAAATACAGTAAGAATGAACTTGATGCAAATGAATGTTGTCCTCAAAACTTTGTCAAAAAAGGGTTACCTCCAAAAATGTTCCAGTGCAGACATACGTTTACACAATATATATACAAAATGCAGAAATGTATGTTTTGTAGTTATGAATTAAAGTATAAAATAAAGAGAACATACGTGTTACATACATTTAGAACTAGAGGATGTTAGACTTAAAGTATATGGTTCTTAATAACTGAATAATAACTCACATTCTTAGTTCCTATATTTATATAAGGAAATAATTTTTGATAATGACATAGATGTTAATAATTAAAGCCAATCATAAGCAAATAAATAGTTGCAATTCATGGGCAGCTGGACACTCTTAATTTCTTAAAATGGGGGGGGGAAGGATTCTTGACATAGATGAGCACAGCTGGCATGCATTAGTGCAGCCATCTTAGCTATTTTGAATTACAAGTTCCAACAATTTTTATGGACAAATAATGGTATTTTTAGCCTAATTTAATTTTTAAATCTGCATTTGTAGACTTTGCCAGGAATAAATGAAACCACGATTAAGATTTCTGAGTATTAGAAATGCAGTATTTTGTCACAAAATCTGCAAAGGGAACAACTATTTTGAATGTCTTGTTAAATGGATGCCGTTTACCTGGTATGGCCATCACTGCCATACTGATGGGCCTAGGTTCAAATCTTGAAGAGGACATGGATGTTTGCAAGCACACAGTGCTCTGTGCAGCAAAGGGCACTGAAAAATATATGGCAAACTGAAAGTCTCTCCCTCAAAATCAGGGTGGAACTGCACAGTTACGGGGTGGGACTGTCCCTGTAAGATTAATGGTGAAAGCACTTCTTAATTTCAGGCTTTAATGTTTTAAATTACTAGCCCTTGATGAGTCAATTTAAAATATCAAAATATGAATAACTAATTTGAATTTTCATTATTTTTTTTTAAAAATTCCAAGAGGATTTTTTTTAGTTTATTCCTACTTTTGAATTTGCATAATACATCATTCTAAAATTTAACAGTTTCTCTAAATTTTCTTTACTTTAAATTTCAAATAAAAAATTTTACAGGATAGTATAGTTTTTCCCCTTCTAATTTTTAAAAATTAAACTTTTGTTAAATTAAATCTTGAGCAGCTTCAGCACTTGATATTAAAACTGTTTTTTGGGGAAAGAGGTCCCCTTTAGGATTTTATTCTTTACACAGACAGATAGATAGATAGCTGGGTTGATCTTTGGATTATGGTAACTTGGCGATTTTTTGGCGAAAATTTGGCGACCAACTCTGCTACAGCAACCCTCTATTTTTTTTTTCGCCGCCATTTTGTCTTCACGAATAAAGACACGTTTCTGTCTTTATTACTGAACACTTTTTCCAACATCTACTAGCGAATTACACTTATGCTAGAAATTTTATGTAACAAAATTAATCATGACAAATATTAACTGCAAAATTGGGAAAAAGTGCACAATCGCAATCCTTGCGCGTTTTCAGAATAGCACATACACATAAACCATTTACACGTCAACTTATTTTTACTTAAAAAAAAACATCCCAGAATTGCACAAAAATGGCATTGCACACACTCTAACTTATCCATCTACACTGCTATTTTCATAATTACAAAAATTTGCACGAAAATGAAAAAAAATTCTGAATCTTTAAACTGGTAAAAAGCACTATATGAAATACCTGATCGCGAAAAAGTATATACCCTTTCCAAGGATGAACATTTCCACGTAAAATAAAAAAAGCCAAAACTTTTACCTCTAAATTCTTTACAGTCAAAAGTCGTTATGGACACCATAATCGGAATAATTTATAATCCGGACCTCAAAGCTAAAAAATTTCTGCGCATGCGCCGCTTGACACATGCGCAAGGCGTTTACGCGAGCGCGTAAGACCTTGACGACTGTGCATTGCGTGTGAGCAAGCGCAGAATACGTTTTCCGTGCGCGTTTAATGTATAACGGACGGTGTAAGCTAAAATTATCTAATTATCTATTTCAGTTAATGTTGATGATTGCGTTTGTACCTTAATCTTCGAATAGGATCCGGCTTATTTTTTTTGCAGACTGTAAGAGCAATACTATTAAAAGTAAACTTGAACTTTCGATTATGTCAAATAGAATTTCCGATGCTGGAACTCCCAAAGGATCGTACAAAACGAAAGTAGTTCGAATGTCCATCAACAAAAAGTGAAATTGCCTGCAAAAAATGGATAAAAACATGAAGAATGTGACAGAGAGGTTAGTGAAAACGAAAAAATTTCCATTGACCAGTTAGTCGGTATTCTCGGCACAGCAATTAACGGGACTTGAACAGCGGAACTCTTGTAACTGAAAAAAATTATGTCTGTTTTATAGAATTAAAAAGAAAGTATTATATCACATAAAACGAAGCAACTTAAACAAACTTACATTGAAAGAAATGTTTAAATAAAAACAAATAAATATTAAGCTGTTTTTTTGTAAATTTGATACCCTTTAGATCATAATTGTTCTTTATTCATAAATTACGGTTTCATATTTTTAATTTTAGAATTTCTGCATGCCATCTTACGAGATTTAAACTGATGATCTATAATCCGGAAAAAACCGATAATCCGGAATCCGCGAAGTCCCGACGAGTCCGGATTAACGACTTTTGACTGGATTATATTATAAACGTCACCAACGATCATACAGCAAACTTACAAAGGTTACAAATACTTAGTGTCAAATATTTAAATTACTTCCAGGCACGTTACTTCAACTGAAACGTTATACCAAATTCCTACAAACATAAATTCACAAAATAACTATCATTTAATTAAAAGATCAAAACCATGTATACGTCAACTTATTTTACTTAAAAAAACATCCCAGAATTGCACAAAATGGCCACATCTTCAATATCCATGTAACTGCTTTTTCTCATAATTAGAAAAATTTCATGAAAATGCATGAAAATACTCAAAGTATTCTACTCAAACTATTCCAAAATACACAAATATAACTCACAAAATCACGATCAGAAATTAAAATATATTAATTAAAACCACTACTAAAATATAAATAAGCACATACATAAATAATAAAATTAGATACAATCCTAATACTTTAAACTAAATCATTGTAATAACAATTTTCCAATAATATCATATTAATTTATTTACTCCTTACATTTTGACAAGGCATAAAAAAATATCCTCAAAGATTAAAAATACTAACTTACTAATCTTCAGAATCTTCATTAGGGGCACGCACACTTGACTATTTCACACAAACACACAATGAAGTTAATACAAAATAATATAGTACTACAGTTTTCCAAATTGCCCCCTTTTCGATTAAAGAATGTATTCGTCATTAATGTCACATGATGACATATTCATGATCTCTCATTTCCCTCACACAAATAATGCGTAATCGGAACTGAGTACTCTCACATTATTACCAAAGTCCTAGGTAGTAACCTTTATTGCCTCCAAAATGTCGCCAAACTACCAGTTACCATATTCCAAAGATCAGCCGATAGCTGTATTAAACATATAAACATGCATATATATATATATATACACACACATAAATAGTTTTAATCTAATCTGCAAATTTGGAAAAAAAAAAAAAAAAAATCATATTTACTTACATGACTATTCAGTACAGGACTTATGTAAAACATTGATATGATTGACAGTTGTTCATCAGATATTCGCATACTCTGATTCTGCTTTTCCACAAATGTTTTGCCATAATCATACGAGATGAACACGCTTGATGTTGAATGCTCATTTTGTCTTCTATCTCTTGCCAAACAAATGAGTACATCACTCCCTTTTCCAGCCCAATGGACAGATAATTGTTCATGACTATCATTTAAAGGAAACTACAGGAGAAAAAATCTGTTAAATTAAAATATATAAAAACTAATATACAAAACAAAAATTTATACAAAACTATAAAATTAAAATAATTAAATATAAATAAAGTAGGAATGTCTTACTTTTTAATGATATTCAAGTCATTAAAAGGCCAATTTCACAGTTTTAAAGAGTTTTGCACTTAAAAATTAAATTAGCCACTGCATGATTATCGTTAGGTCTAACTACTTATTTGCTTGGAATTACACTAGCTCACATTGCTAGACCTTCCAGTGGACAAAGCCATAGAATAGAATACTGGTAATTTGTTTGGGATGTGATTTTTGGAAAGTTGAAGGGGTATTAATGGAATATATACATTTCTTTTCTTTCTTTCTTTTTTTTTAATGTGCAGTATAAGCCCTAATTTCACCAAATGTGGCGATATGTGTTCTGCGCTGGTTTTGGGCGCGATTGCATGTTCTATGGCAACCCTGTTGACGTTGAAAAATCTTTCACTGGAGCTCGTTGGTTCGCCTCTGTGTCTGAGAAGATGGGAGGGAAAGATAAAAAGGTAGTTGTGAATTGAAGTTCAGCAAAAGAAATGATGTGGCATCCTGTTGAGGGGTAGTGGGTATTGGAAGTGTGAAAGAGGGTCTGGGAGATTATTTTTAATGGCAGTGCATGACGAAAGTAGGGATTTGTGATTTATTATTTGTGAATAAAGTATAAATTTCTGGATAGTGTGTCTGGCTGTGATGTAAATACGATAGTTAATTACGTGGCAGCATGTTAAAGGCGGTATGAAATTTATTTTCTGCTATTCGAAAAAAGCATTAAGTCATGGTAAGTGCATTTATTTTATCCTTGTTCTTATTGTAGAATGTTATGTTCATTGGTTCTTTAGTATGAATTCTGTCGTTATGTTGTTTTTAAATTGTTGAAATTTATTTTAGTTTATTTGTTGTTGTGTCTAGACTGTATAATTCGTAGATGTTTTTTAAAGTTGAAACAACGGGTACATGGATTATTTAAAAATTTTGTATGTTATTTTATTAAAAGCGAGGAGTGCGTAGATCGTAGATTCCTTCCTTGCCTAAATTGCAATTCGTAGAATTTTTTAAAGTTTAAACAGGATGCTGGTACTGGTTTCTTTGAAATTTATTGTTGTATGTTAATTTATTAAAGCGGGTGTCGTAGTTTGTAGATTCTCGTTGCCTACATTGTGCAATTCGTAGATGTTTTTTAAGTTAAACATGTCACTGTGTACCTGGATTCTTGTCAAATATTTTTGGTTAGAAACTTTACGTTTTTGCTATCTAAATTTTTTGTTTTTTTCGGATTTTCAGCTTAAGTTGTATGTTCGAAACGTAGTTTTGCATGTGCGAAAACCGCGTTTTTGGAGACATTTTAGGCGTAAAGTTTGAAAGGTAAACAAAAAATTTTGATAGTAATATGGCAGCGTGAAGTTTCTCGCCAAAAATGCGACTTGAGGGCGCATATCAGAGTAGTTCCATTATTTTTATCTGAAGGGGAAAATTATATACTTTTTCATTGGTAGTTATTGGTAGTTTTGTGAATAGACAAAAAATGATTGTTCATTATCTTTAGAGCTCATAAATAATAACAAAACAAAACATTTTATATGAAACAATTTTACTACAAAAAAAATCTATATCGATGTTATTTACTTTTTTATAGCCACTGACACCTCTTCAGCAGAATAACTGTTAAATATAAAGGATGTAAATTCATGTGAACACAAACGTGTGTGTGTATATGCATGCATGTTTAGCTTTGTTGTGTGAATATTAAAAAATAAGTCGGTTTAATCCTGGTTTATCGTACACACGGAATTTGGAGATAATAACGTGACGATCAGTAAAATGCAGTGTTTATGATGAGCAATAAACGAGTCATTTTGGTGTTGGCAACAATTTCCAAAATCCCGTTAAGGCCGTATCATATACCAGGATTTTTACCAATACACCAAACACATAGTTCTATTATATCCCATGCTTCCAGTTGAAACGTCAAATGCAGATAACCAGAAAATAATAAACATTTTAGCACATTGTAAAAAAAAAAAAAAAAAAAAAAAAAAAAAAAAAAAAAAAAAAAAAATTGGGTACTATTCGGTTTTGAGGGCCGTAAAAAAATCATCAAGCTATTGTTGATGACAATGCTGCCAAAAATAATTGCGGCAAGAAAGGAAGCATAATAGTAAATAACTATTTAAGATTGATATTTTAGTTTATGTGAAAATAGGTCGATGTGTACATAGATAAAGTCAAGGCTGTGCGCAGTGCCATTTTTGTGAAATTCTAGGATTTTTTTTTTAAGTGAAAATAGGTCGATGTGCACATGGATATCGAGTATGTGCAATTCTTAAAAACGCGTCAAGTAGTGGGTGATTCTGCACTTTACCCAAAATTCTATTGCCGACCTTTCATCATGGGCAATTCCCAAATTGTTAAATCTATAAGATATCAAAAAAGGATTTAAAAATTAAACTAGTATTTAAATGGTGTCTTAAGAAATATAGAACTATATAAACTTACACGATCTGAAATCAACACATATGCTAAATTTGGCGTGCTGTTAAATGGGCACGTTTGCTAGATTTGGCGTTTTTGCGCACACATTTTTGTTGCAATTTTTTTACTGCTCTCGAAACCGAATAGTACCAAAAATTGTTCAGATACCATAGAACATACTTTCTTATAAAGCTTCAGGAATTAAAATTATTTGTTTATGGTTATAATTTAAAGTTTTGTTTTATGCTTGGCATTAATTAAAAATAACAGAACTCATGTGGTAATGAAAATTTTGCATTTAAAAAAATCATTCCTTTATCTTTAAAATAACATAAAAGTTTAATTCTAGTTTTATAGGAAAATCTGTTACAGGTTCTTGAAATTTTTAAACTGCAACATATAGCTGTGACTGAAAAGAAATGAAGTTAGCCCTGACCTAACAGAAGCAAATATTTTGCAAATTTCACAATATGTTCATTCTATCAGAGATATTTGATCAAACTAGACTAGAGTCAACTCCTTAAAGAAGTAATTTCAAAATAGCACGCAACTTATTATAGTTTAAATGAATTTAACAATAATTTAAGGGAAAAAATACGAATATGCACCAATCATTTAAAATAACAACACAAAAAGACTTAAAAGTAAACAACAGAAAACTTACAACAGTTGAAAAGTTCGAGGGTTTCGCATTAGAAGATGCAACTGAGTTACGCTTTATTCGATTTTCTAAAATGTGAAGTTCATTTTCAAATTCAGAATCTCTATAAAGCGTAAATATACTACGTAATTCATTTAAATCAGATGGAGCTATAAATAAAGTTGAAGAAGAAAGTCCGATGCGATGACATTCATGAGAGCAAAAGAAAGTGAATACGGCTAAGAGAAACAGAAATCTAAATACATGCATCACTAACACATCTGAAATTCAAATAAATTTTATATCAATATGTTCTTCAGGTAATGAATTAGCGAAACTTCAGAGTTTACAAATTTTGGCTATCATTAATGTTGCCAACTTTAAAAATATGCATTATGTTTGTAATGGTTTGTTGCCATAGAACCATATTCACTTCCTATAAGTTAAAGATATATCTTTTACTTATAGGAAATATATATTACCGTCTTATATATTACCATTTATATCTTTACTGTATAATAATAAAAAGGAAAAACCTCTTTCATATACTATAGGATTCCCCTCGCGCTGATCTTTTACTTGTATGACATTTTTGTCATGTAGGCAAACAGACTTGCATTTGGGATTTTAAATGTATATTTATAAACACATTTTCAATTTATTGCATGAATAGATTCATAATTGTGTTATGTTATCTCAATTCAAGTGCTTAACATTTACTATATTAAATTATTTTATTTAAATGAAGCAGAAATTTAACTTGTGTCTGACGCAAATGAAGCGTCTTCTGTTAAATATGCTTAATCTTGCTAAAGAATTATCTTTCATAATTAGTATTTAGTGTATATTAGTGTATTTTAGTATTATTCTGCAATGAACTGCCGATGGCAACAAATACATCCTCGTTGCCATTGGATACTTCCATATGGCTATAGTACGTAGTGTATATAATGCAAATAGTATAAAACATGGTTTTATTTCTTTGTTTTATTGAATTAGTATTTGATTTGATTTAAGTTACTTATTGCAATCATTGTTTACTTTGTTTGTTATTCTGTTGTAATGTTTATTATTGTATTGATGTGCCCAGTTGTAAGTATGGCTTCCTGTCCGGGGATTGTACTGCCCAGGACGCGTATTTCCAAACCCTACCCCATTTTTCGAATTTTTGACGTCACGGAAATATCGACTAGTTTCACCTGGCAAGACGGCGTACCCCACTTTTGACGGAAGCACTTCCGCAGAGAACCCGGTAAATGTAAACATCGCCAACTTTGGCGATAAAAGTTCAAACCTGGTAACCTATCGGATTAATCGTATTCGCTTGTTTGAAAGTTGCAACCATCCACACACAGATCGTATTTTATTCTCGAGTGTCAAGATGTAGAAACATCTTTTTACTCGACTTCTGATAAAGAGCGGAGGGGGAGAGAGGGAGAGGGGGTGAAAGGAGTGTGGGAGGCGGATGAAAGAGAGTGAGGTCCGCACTAGCGGCGGCGAAAAAAAGAGGGGTGTCAAGTTCAGTGTCGTTATAAGATGAAGCCGCGGGTGGTAAAACCGCAGAGTCAGTTTTGCGTGAATGAGTCAATTAAGGTTGTGAATCTTATGTGCGGAGGATATCACAAGGGTAGCGATGTTTTTCTCTGGGACGCGGGGAGTGTCTGAGAGTGCTAATAAGGCTATTACTGTGGGTTTGTGCTGAATAAAAGAAGTTGACCGCTAATCGTTTAATATACTCTTGAATAAGTTCGATTCGAAGGTCTCTTGTGGATATAGATGTTGGAATATACCAAGGAGCATTGATAATTTCTCGTAGAATTTTATTTTGTAGAATTTGTAATTGTTTAATATTGGTTTTAGCTGCATGTCCCCAGATCGGTGCTGCATAAAGAAGAGCTGGGCGCAGTATGGAGCGATATAGAATTAATTTGTTTGTAGTAGATAAGTTGCTTTTTCTACCAAGAAGAGGTCGCATAGTAGCTGTGGTGATTTTAAATTTTTGTACTACGGACCGGAAATGGGTTCTGAAGGTAAGTTTTTGGTCAAGGGTGACTCCAAGGTATTTGGTTTCATTAATCCAGTCTATTTCTTCGTCAAATATTTCAGGGGGTGGAGGATAGTATTTCATGTTTCCTTTACGGAAAATTATTGCCTTAGTTTTATCAGTGTTAATTTTAATCCTCCAAAGGGTAAGCCATTTTTCCAGTTTTATGAGATAGCTTTGGAGTTGGTTTCTTACGGCGATAACTGTGCAGGCTTTAGTAAGTATGGCGGTGTCATCGGCAAAGAGTGCAAGATGAACAGAAGGGTCTTTAGGGATGTCTTGTGTATAAATATTAAAAAGGTACGGCGAAAGTGCCGACCCCTGTGGGACACGAGCATTGATTACTCTGGTGGTAGAGTAAGCAGTACCGATTTTGATTCTGAATGTTATATTGCTGAGAAAAAGAGGTTATTAAGCGAATAAAATGATCTGGAAAATTGAGAGTGATTAGCTTGTAAATAAGGCCTCGATGCCATACCCTGTCAAGAGCTTTCGCGATATCGAGGAATATAGCACCGGTCGGAAGCTTGCAGTTGTAGCCTTCAGTGATAATGTTGATAACTCTAAGAAGTTGGTGGCAAGTGCTATGATGATTAGGAAAACCGAATTATTCTTCTGGTAGAAAATTCATGGAAGGGTGAATTTTTTGGATGTGGAAAAGTAGAATTTTCTCAGTAACTTTAGACAGGTGGCTAAGTAAACTGATAGGGCGATAGTTCTGTGGGAGAGTTGGATTTTGTTGCGGTTTAGCAAAAACTTATTATAGCTTGCCATGAGTTAGGAAAATGAGCGAATTTGATAATGTTGTTGATTATCTTAGTTAGGCAGGTAAGAGCGTTGATCGGAAGATGCTTCAGTGCTTTGGTCGAGATGCGAGATGCATCGTGCCCTGGGGCTTTCTTCGTTTGTAAGGCGCTGATGGTGTTGGCAACGATTGTTGGGGTGGGGTAGTCAGGAAAGTGAAGTTGTACGGAGCAGGGGTATTAAGGAAGTTATTGACCACCTGGTTGACCCGTTCAATATGGTGATTGTCGTACGGAGTGAGATTAAGAGTGAATGTATCTTCCATATAGTCCGCAAAAGATTTAGCTTTATCGTCTTCTGTATATGAAGTTCCACTAGGTCCATGGATAGGTGGAATAGGTGTATAAGGTTTCTTGAATTTTCGGGAAATGTCAAATAGGGAACTGTCCTCTATAGCTAGGTTATTTAGGAAATTGGTCCATTTTTTGGTTTTTGAAGTTCTTGATTCTTCTGATTTCTTTTTGCATAGAGTTTAGTTCGTGTTTGAGCTGTGGATCCCTGGTGGTTTGCCATCTTTTACGGATCCGGTTTTTCTCTTTAATCCTATTTCCTATATCGGCAGGCAGGGGAAGGAAAGGCTTGTTCACATAAAAAGTTTTGGTGGCTTCCTTTAAAGCAGAATTGATGCTGTTGGTAAATTTTGAGACTTCGTGTTCTAAATCTTCTGTATTGTTGATGCATGGGTTACCTTGTATGGAGTTATTCAGAATTTCAGAGTATTTGATCCAATTTGTAACTCCTATACTTCTGTCAAGTGAGGGGAGGTATTTATTAATGGGGATTTCAAATACAATGGGGGTTGTGGTCGGAAGATAGGGCTGGAATTACAGAGATATTGCATCTGTTAGTAATGTTATTTGAGATGAAGAAGTCAATTGTGGTGGCGCTATTGTACCCGTAATGGGTGGGCTCGTCTGGAGCATGAATGTTATAATTATTTGATTGAATGAGTTTAAATATGTCATTTCCTTTTTTGTTAGCAGGTCCTCGGTTCCAACAGGGGTGTTTGGCGTTGAAGTCCCCTCCGACAATGGTAGAAGTATTAGAATTAAGGAGGTGAATCAATTCTTGTGCGCTGGGATTATTATTTGGTGGGATGTATATATTCGAAATTTTGAATTTTTTATGTTCTATTACAATTTCTATTGTGTTACTTTCGAAAGTGGTACTGGAATTAGGAATTTGAGCGTGTTTTATGCTCCTTTTAACAAATGTGATGATGCCACCGCCTCTTCCTGTCTCACGATCCGTACGGTAGGTGTTATAATTAGCATAAAGTACTTTGAGTGCTGGTTTAAGGTGAGTCTCTTGTATGAGTATTACGTCAGGTTCAATTTCAATAATGAGGTTCGATAATTCATCTTTTTTATGGTAAAGACCGTTAGCGTTCCAAGAGAGGATTTTTATGTTGCATCTGTTCTTGAATTTATTAGCATTAAAGATGATTTCCTATTTTTTCAATGATTTCGACTACTGCGATTATTTTATCAAGAGGTGATTTCTTGGTTTTAATGTTTTTGAGTCCTTGTATCACTATTGTCCAGATTGTTTTTAGCGTAGAGAAGTCAAAGAGGTCTGACAGGGAGGATTCTGCGGTGCTGGTAGTTTCTTCTGTTAGAAGAATTTCGTTTTGAATGGAGGTTTGAGCGATATTTTCGTTACTGTTTGATGTGTCAGCGGAGGAAAAGTCTTGTTTTCTGTTAGTCCAGGGATTGGTTGCTGGTGGAGGACTGGGTTGGAACTGAACTTGTTTGTTTTTTGGTCTGGCTGGGCAATTTGAAAAGTTGGCTGGGTGAGGACCTTTGCAGTGATAACATATGGCTGGCTGGTCGCGACTACGGTTGCATTCTATAGGTTTGTGATTGCCTCCGCAACGGACGCAAACCCAGTCTCTGGTGCAGAGCAGGGAACTGTGAAAAAATCCCTGGCATCTATAGCATTGTGGAGGGCCAGGTTTCTTGCGTAATGATTCTATTGTTACGTTCATATAACCTATGCGTTTGATTTTGAATACTTCCTTATTTTCTTCTGATTTTGGTATATGTACTAAGAAAAGCGGCATCGGTTTGTTTTCTTTTCTGTTTCTTAAAAGTGTAATAAAGTTAACCTTAAATCCTTTGTCAAGAAGTTCTTGAGTGATGGTTTGGGGATCTGTGGTGATGGGTAAGCCTCTTATTATGACTTTTAAAACTTTATCTTCGGGCAGTAAGTAGGTGTGGGCTTTAAGCTTAGTTTCTTCGACTATTTTGCGAATGAATCGATGTGAGTCAGAGTCTGCAGGCTGTATTTCTAGGCGGCGTCCTTTTAAGGTGCCAGTTATCTCTTTTCCGGTTTGCTTGTTTAAGTTTTTTAAGAATTCATCTGCTTTTGGTACGTCATCTACGACAATAATTGGCACTTTATCAATTCTCCTTGTTTTTGGGCTGGAGTTTGGTTTTCTATTTGCGGGAATGGGCGAATGGTGTCAGTTTTGTTTGGTTGGTCTTTTGGGGTGGTAGTGAGCTGA